TATTGCCTGCATGTGTGTAAGTGCACCATGTCATGCAATGCCCATGAAGGACAGAAGAGGCCGTTGGAACCCCTGGAACTGGAGTTACGGACAGTTGTTAGCTGCCATGTAGGTGCTGGGATTCGAACCCGGGTCTTCTGCAAGAACAACCAGTGTTCTTAACCGCTGAGCCATCTCTCCAGCCCCTGGAGTTTTATTTTTTTAATGGAAGCATGAAATTCAGTATTTATGCAGTGAGAAGCAAAAGCACATTCTGTGAGAAGAAAATTAACATTTAGCTCAGCCCCTTCCATGCACCTGGCTGGTAGCATTTTTCCTCTCCTGATGAGAGAGGGTTTAGGATCTGGAATGGGCTTAGCAAAGGGAAGCTGAATTCAGTCTGCTGCCTCCAAAGCCCCAGATTTCCCCGTGCGCAACAGCCTTAGAATACAAGTGTTTATTGTCTGGTGAGACACACTCCTGAAGAGTGCTTGAGCTGTTCTGCTCTACAAACCAGCAACTCTCACTAGCATTCAGTGCCCATCTGCTGAAGAAAACTGTCAAACCACTGTGCTGATGCCACCTTATACCCACAGTCTACCCACCTGTCCATCGGTCAGACATCTTTGGTCCACTCTACACCACTGTCCATCCACCACACCCCCATGGTCTGCCCACCTTGCACCCATCCATCCACCACACCCCCATGGTCTACTCACCTTACACCCGTCCATCCACCACACACCGTGGTCTACTCACCTTACACCCGTCCATCCACCACACACCGTGGTCTGCCCACCTTACACCCATCCCCACACACCATGGTCTACCCATCTTACACCTATCCTCCACACACCGTGGTCCACTTATTCAGAAGCCTCTGACTTGTCTTTCTGGCCAATTCTCTTCATTCTTTAAAACAGTATACCCAGTTCTGGCCTGGCTCGGCCTCCTACTTCGAATCTCCTGATTTCTTTTCTCAGCAAACTCACCCAGCTTCTATCCCTCCCACTGCAGAACTCATCCCCATGGGGCTGGTCCCTCTCAGCTCAGGATGGCATCCTGCTTTCTCAGGGCAGTTTGTATCACTCCATCCTTCAGCTCCTGAGTTTTCTCTCAGCAGGCCAGACTCTCACTTCTTCAGTCTCCCATGCCCTTACTTCCTCTACCTGTCCCCATTCCCTCAGCCAAGGTTCTCAAAAAAGCAAGCGGCATGCACCTATCTCCTCCCTCTCACTTTCCCAGAGGAAAAGTGGCCTCTGAGACTGCAAGGCCTTCCATTAGAAGACCTCTTAATTGCAAACTTGGGTGTTTATTATATCAGACCTGCTAGCAGAATCCGACACTGGAAGACCGGGTCTCACCTGCTTCTTCCCTTTCGCAGCATTTTTCCTCCCTGCCTTCCTGTGGCCATCATTAGACAGTGTTAGGCCTGCAGTCTCTTCCTAGCTTCCCTTTCATTCTGTTCACACTGTCTTTGGGCTCAAGTCTCTGGCACAATCCACTCAGGCCTCTCCAGAGTGCCAGGAGCTGCCCAGCGCTTCTTCCTTGGTCAGTAAGTGCACTACCTAGCTTTTCACATCTGCCATCTCGGATTCGATTGAGAGGCCTCTCATTTCCATGTCCCACATCCAGCTGATCACGGCTGTCATTCTGCACCGATTGGATACCTCTTGCTCCTGGTGCTGCCTCCATCCCCACCGTTTCCACTCCTGGGCTGGATGACCTCCTGCCTTTCGTCTGGACATAAAACGACCTCTGACAGGATGACTGCATCTTCCCAGCGTGTGCTTCCTGCTAACTCCTCAGATTCATCCCCTGAGGTCCCCTCCCTTAATTTTATGTAGGATATTGATTCATGCCTTTGCATAAACTTCTCTGGACAACTTTTGACATGGAATTCCTCCTCTTTTTCTTGAATGTTTCTCATCCTTCTCAGCGACACCCCCTCCCGCTCCCCCCGACCCCCACAGCTTCGTTGTGTGCTCCACCCCTGGGCTCGGCACACACTTCTGCATCCCCACCTGCACCTGTTACCTTTTCCCACAGAAAAAAGCACTTATCGATCGACATCTGAGGAGCTGTTCAGGAAGAATCTCAGTGCAAAGATGCTGTAAATTTGCAACTTGGGGGCTGGGGCTGGAGCTCAGAGACAGGTGCCTGTCTGCATGTCAAGGCTTTGTTTCCCGCCCCCTCCAAGTGAATCTGTTAAGAACCGGACGGCTAAAGCATAGCATAGTGGCACGCGTCTGTAATCCCAGCACTTGGGAGGTGGCTGCAGTTCAAGGCCAGTCTGGGCAACGGTGACTTTGAGCCCAGCCTGGGTTACAAGAGACCCAGTCTCAACAGAAAGAAAAAAAAAAAAAAAAAAAGGGAAGAGGGCTGTGCTTAGGCACAGCTCACTGCAGCACGGTAGGGAGCAGGTTGCTTCCTATTTGCAGAAGTGGAGCTTGGCTTCGGAGAGGAGTTTGGACTGCAGGCTGCATAGGCCATCTCTACGCGGATAGTCACAGATGCCTCGGGTTAAGGCCCAGCTAAGAAGGGGTGGGGGAGGGGTGGGGGAGTGGGAGGCCTGCTGCAGACCAGGAGCTGGAGGGCTTTCATCCGGAAGGATGGGGTGGGCGAGCCAACTGCCAGCTACGCCCAGCTGCTCGGCCCCGGGGCTTGACACAAGGTGTTGGGAGTAAGACGAAACCCGCTTGTTTCTATCCTAGAGACCAGCGGGCGAGCGGAAAAGAGGCTCAAGAGCAGCCACGGCCTGCAAGCAGAGACCCAGGCTGTCGGCGCTGCCAGGGACCGGGGCCCGCCACAGCCCACCGCGCGCCTCCGCAGCGGGGGGCCGCCCCAGTCCCCCTCCCGGTGCCCGCCCGGGTCCGTGCCCCTGCCCCGGTGCTCACTCCGGTGCCCTCCCCCGTCCCCGCCCCTGCCCCGGTGCTCACCCCGGTCCCCGCCCCCACCCCCGCAGGACGCGCTGTGGCTGGAGGCGGTGTCCAATCTATCCGAGTGGCTGAGTCCCGGCCCAAAACTTTGACCTCCGTGTTCAATAAAGCTGCTCCCAGCAAGCCGTCGCGTCGGCTCTAGAGTAGGGGAGGGCCGGGGCGGGGCCGCCGCCTAACGTCACTGGTGCGCGCCCGCGGGTCGGGGCGCGATGGCGGCGCTGGGCGGGGACGGGCTTCGCCTACTGTCGGTGCCGCGGCCCGAGCGGCAGCCCGAGTCCGCGGCGCTGGGCGGCCCGGACCCCGGGCTGTGCTGCTGGGTGTCGGTGTTCTCCTGCCTCAGCCTCGCCTGCTCCTACGTGGGTAGCCTCTACGTCTGGAAGAGCGAGCTGCCCAGGTGCGGGGGCCGCGCGCTCCCGGAGTCCCCGGCCCCGCGGGGCTGCGGGCGGAGCTCGGGCCGGACGGTGGCGGGGCCGCGCGGACCGCTGGCGGCGCCCAGAACCTCCTGTCCCCTTCCTAGGGACCACCCTGCTGTCATCAAGCGGCGCTTCACCAGTGTCCTGGTGGTCTCCAGCCTGTCGCCTCTCTGCGTGCTGCTCTGGAGGGAACTCACTGGCATCCAGGTGCGAAGGGGGCGGGGCACCGGGCCGCCGGGGACGGAATCCCAGGATTTCCGCGGGGGGGGGGGGGGCACGCCACTGATACCCCCTTTCCTGTGGCTCAGCCAGGCACACCCCTGCTCACCCTATTGGGCTTCAGGCTGGAGGGCATTTTCCCAGCAGCTCTGCTACCCCTGCTGCTGACCATGGTGAGTTCTGCTCGTTCTTTCCTACTCGGTTGTCACTAGCGTAATGCACCGGTCGAGTTCCTGTTTCCAGCTTTTGGTCGACAGCAAACAGGAGTTGTGATAGGGCCCTTGGACCCCCTGGTGTGCATGGGTGGGAAAGCTTAGAATTCAGGAAGGCAAGTCTCAGGCTGGCCAAGGATGAAGGGCAAGGTCTCGAGATGTGGGTGAAAGTCTCTCCTTTGATCTCTGCCATTTTTCTGCTCCCAGATCCTTTTCCTGGGTCCACTGATGCAGCTCTCTATGGATTGCCCGTGTGACCTGGCAGATGGGCTGAAGGTTGTCCTGGGTACGCTTCAAAACTGAGGAACAAATAGGCACAGGCAGTCCAGGACATTGGGAGAGGAGTCAGATGGATGCAGGTGTTATCTGGACAGAGTGACAGATCAGCTCTCTGAGTGTCTCCTCACCAGTAAAATGGGTTTATACTGCAGTTGCCCCTGTAAGGAGGCCTTTAGGACCCACAGCAGTACTTGGTGTGGACTTCCTTGCTTCTCCAACCTTTGGCTTCCCCAAAGACTGGTCTTGGTTAAATTTTCATGTCTCCAGAATTGACCACCAGGCTCCCTTAACCTCCTCTGTGATGCCTGCCTTCCCCTTCAGTGATCTCAGGATATTGTTTTATGCTGGGTCTTTCAGCAGTATTGATGCCTGGCCTGAGTTTGGCCAGAGCAGAGCTGTAGGGGAGGGGCCTGTGGAGAGAGGGGTCTCCATTTCTGGTAACTTGGCACACTCATTGCTCTCCTGAATATTGACCGTAGCCCCTCGTTCCTGGGCCCGCTGCCTCACAGACATGCGTTGGCTACGAAACCAAGTTATTGCACCCTTGACAGAGGAGCTGGTGTTCCGGGCTTGTATGTTGCCCATGTTAGCACCATGTACAGGTCTGGGCCCTGCTGTGTTCACCTGCCCACTCTTTTTTGGAGTTGGTAAGTCTATCTATCTAGCCTGGTTCTACCAAGATGTTTCCAGCATGAAGACTAAAAATGGGGCCTGGAATGGGGGGGCGGCGGGTGGCCCTAGTTGGAAGGCCAGGGGGATGTGATATGGTTCTCATCTTCCTCCCAGCCCACTTTCACCACATTATTGAGCAGCTGCGCTTCCGCCAGAGCAGTGTGGGGAGTATCTTCTTGTCTGCAGGTGAGGCTTGGAGAGCTTGTTGGGGGTTTGGGGGTTATGTTAGAATGTGGCTGACAGCCACTCTGCAGAAGGGACTGGGTACAGAAGGCTGTAGTATGGGAAGGGCCACTGACCATGGGCCTTGGGGTGCAGCCACAGGTGGTGGGCGTGTAGCCACTGCCCCAAGGGGAAAGGGTGGCCTCTGGCCGATTGATGTGCAGTATCGCGGCAGGGTGGGCATGCAGGTGTGGTCACTCACAGCCTCCTGTCTCCAGCGTTCCAGTTCTCCTACACAGCTGTCTTCGGTGTCTACACTGCTTTCCTTTTTGTCCGCACAGGTTGGTCCTCCATATCTCAGGGTCTCCAGGGCCCAAAGGCGCGGGTGGGGAAGGGGAATACTGTGTGTGTTCTGGGAGTGACAACATTTCTTTTACCACACAGTCCTTGAGGCAGGCTGAGCCAGGGCCCTCAGCTTGGTAAGGTCTGAGAAGTGGCAGCACAGGCGATGGAGTGGATGAGTGTGAGCGGGTTGGGGGTGTCCTGGAGCTCCTGTTCAGGGACAGGGGATGAAGGGCACTAGACCTGAAGGGCCAGAGGAGATGGTGGGGCTGCTCCATGTGTTGTGCTGTCTTCCCCTCCCCAGGACACCTGATTGGGCCGGTTCTCTGCCATTCCTTCTGCAATTACATGGGCTTCCCTGCCGTATGCGCAGCCCTGGAGCATCCACAGAGGTGGCCGCTGCTGGCAGGCTATGCCCTGGGTGTGGGACTCTTCCTGCTTCTGCTGCAGCCCCTGACGGACCCCAAGCTCTACGGCAGCCTTCCCCTTTGTGTGCTTTTGGAGCGAACAGGGGACTCAGAGGCCCTGTTGTGCTCCTGACCTTCACTCCTGTGTACACTCTAGTGAACTCTCATGGGCTCCCCAGCCCCTCCCCATCAAGGAATACTACAAGGGAGGGGCTTGCTGGGGTCCCCGAGATCTCAGGAATTTTTGTAGGGGATCGAAGCCAGACCTAGTTGAATCCCAGGGACCAAGGAAAGGAGCAGATCTCCAAAGGGTGTAGCCCTTGCAAAAGGAGTTGAGGAGCAGCTGCAAGTGAGGGGACAAGGCAAATCCCAGGGGCTGTGCACTCCCTCACTTTTGACTGCTACTTCTCTTAGCTCTCTGCCCCCCTCTGCCTCTGAAAAGCTGCTCAGGGTGGGTTTATTTATAAAAGCCCTCCCCCAAAACCTCCCAGGGTTTTCTCATTGTCTTTTTGCATCAAGACTTTGTATTGGGATATTAAAGAGATTTAACTTGGGTAACACGGTCTTGCACCTTTGGGAACCAGTGTATTTGGACTGTGGGAGAGGACTCCTGGCTGCCCTGAACACTAACCCACAGGTGAGCCTGGCAAGCAGGTCCCAGCAGTAGGATGGGTGGGGGCTGCGGCCTCCTCCTTCCTGAGCTCTGGCCCAAGTCCTAGCACAGGTGCCTCTGAGGCAGGTACCAGATGGTGACCCGGCTCACCCTGGGGTCCTCTGTCACCTTGGCTACCAGGGACAGGGAGTCGAACCACAGCCCCGACTCCAGCAGCGGAGCCTCCAGCCTGTGTCCTTTAGCTGTGGAATCCCCACCCAGGTCTTCACTCCAAAGGAAACAGGTCCAGAGTATGAGAGGAGCCTTCTCTATGTCCCCCAGTTTCTGGTTCTAACCTGGACTGAAGGAGCCCAGGATGAAGGCCACAGCCCAGAGCGCAGCAGACTACTGTGCTGCACAAGAACTCGGGTTTTGCTCTGTTACCTGCTCATTTTCCTGACTGGACCTTTTTCCCTTGGCTTTTTTTTTGATACTAAGTATCTTAAGTCTCCCTCTTTGAGGAAGGTTGTCCTGAAGCCTCTTCCTGAAGCTGGTTATTAAATGAAAGGTGACATTCTCAGGTCGGCTGTGACTAAACCACCACAGCTTCACAGTCCTACTGCCTCCCTGAGAGCTCGCCCCCTCCCCCTGTCCCGGCCTTGTGTAGAGGCTTGAGGTAGGGATAAGCAGTGGCTTGTTACAGAAAGTCCTTTTGAGGTCCCAGGCCCACCTGTGACTTGTCCTTCCCCAAAGTCAGGTCATGGTAAGACTGCAGGCAGCTGCGGGATTTACTTCCTGCTGATTCTCCTGGGCTTTGCCCTGCCCCTCCCTCTGTCCAGCATTCCCTCCACTAGCCCTTTCTCCTTCTCAGGAGCTGCTCATGCATTTCTTCACCCATGCCAGGGGGCAGGCAAGCAGGAAGCAGCCTGATCACTAGGGCTCAGGGTGCTCTTGAGGGCCGGCTGTGGGAATAGCAGGGCGCCATGCGCAACCCTGGAGCCAGCATCCTTACACCCAGGGTGTTCCAGCAGTCTGCTGTATAACCATTCCAGAGGGTTCTCCACTGCCCAGGTTGTACCTGCTAACGCTTAGTCCTGGGCCAGAGGTGAGAGACTAGCCTTCGGTGTAGAAAGTAAACTGGAGCCAGGCATGATGGGCCACACCTATAAACCCAGCATTTAGGAAGCTGAGGCAGGATGGCAAATTCAAGGTCAGTCTAGGCTTCAGAGACAGACCCTGTTTCTAAATACGAATTAAAAAATAGTAGTGAGGCAGTGTTGCTGGGAAGCAGGCCTGTCGACAGCATGGACGCCATGCCTCTCTGCCTCTTCCCTTGGCGTGGAGAACAGATTATCTAACTGCATTGACTTGACTCCTGTCCATAGGACAGGACGGCTGATTCACCCAGTTGCTCATACAGTGGTACACAGCTAGTCCTGTCTGGGCTGTTGTACAGGATACAGGCAGGAGCTCGATAGTGGCATAAACCAGGGCTCTGGTGATCATCCTTGCTAGCCTAAGGCACAGATCTGCCTCCAAAGGCCCCAGGCTTTGAGGGACAACCCCACCCACTCTGCCTCTGGGCTGGGGGCAACAGAGGGGGTGGGGTGGACTGTACATGACCAGTGTGGAGGGCAGGGGAAAGCCAGTTTTATTGAGCAAAATTCCCAGGATCTGGCATTAGGTCTTCCCCTTACCCAGGAGGTAGAACTCCTAAACCACCTCCCCAGCCAGCCCCCAAGGCCACCTACTCTACACCTGAGTCTCCCACGTGGAGAAGACCCTTATTTGGCAAGAGATGAATATGTGAGCAATTGTCCGCCAGTGGCGAAAGGATGCGTGGCTGAAGGGAATGGGCCGCTGTAGGTAGTGTCTGCTGTCTCATGAGACGGGACCTCGGGGGCCAGGCCTCCTGCCCTTGGGCACTGGCTAGCCTGGGCCTGCCCTGGCAGCACAGTTTCTGTTGAAGGCTTGGGGTGGAGGTGGCCAGGCTTCCAACCTTGGACAAGATCACTCCATCTCTAGGATGAGGTCATCACCTTCCAGTGTCATGTCCTTGGTCACGTGAACCTTGCGGATAGTGCCCTCCATGGGCGAAGTCACCACAGTCTCCATCTTCATGGCGCTGAGCACACAGAGTGGCTGGCCCTTGGCCACCTTCTCTCCTGCTGCCACTTTGATGTCTATGACCTTCCCAGGCATGGGTGCCCCGATTTGCCCCTTCACATCCTTCAGAGCCTTGGGGTGGAAGTGCATCTCCTACAGACAGGGCAGAGGGGCCGTGAGATACCAGGTCAGTCCCATCCCTACCACCTGGCTGGCCCTGAGGGATCTATACCTTCATGGCCTGGGTGTCCTTAACCAGGATGGACCGCAGCTGCCCATTGAGTTCAAAGAAAACCTGCCTCTGGCCAGCCCGGTTCAGGTCACTCACAGCCAGGGCTTTGATGTGCAGTGTCTTGCCCCGTTCCAGTTCCACCTGTAGAGAAGATGGGAGAGGGGAAGCGGGGAGGAAATCGGGAGAGCAGGCCCAGGCCCTGGACCCCCACCACAGTGGGATCTGGCACCGTGGATCAGGGTTCCTTATGTGCAGAGGCCTAGCTTCTGGATTCCTTTGGGCTGAGCAGGTGGGGTACTGACCTCAAACTCCTCTGCAATTTTGGGTCCTTGCAGAAAGAGGCGGGTATTGAGGCTATCCAGAGGGCCGAAGGTGGCTGTGAAGTCCTTGAACTGGGCAAAGACATCAGGGTACATGGCTGCAGAGAGGACGTCCTCTGGAGTCACCTCGTCCCCATGCCGCTCTACCAGGTCCTTCTCCAGTGCCTGCAGATTCAGGGGAGGCAAGGAGGCTCCAGGCCGCCCCTCTACCCTTGGCAGGTCCTTTAGCACCTGAGGAGCAAAGTGGATGTCAGGTCTGGTTCTTGCACCCAATCCCAACCTCACATATGCGGCAGCTTTCCTACCTTAGAGCGGAAGGGCTCAGGGAAACCCCCATGGGGGACACCAATGTAACCCTGCAGGAACTCCACCACAGAGCGGGGGAAGGACAGCTCTTCTGCCTGAGCTTCGGCCTCTGCTCGGCTCAACCCATTTTGCACCATAAACTGGGCCAGGTCCCCCACAATCTTGGAGGAAGGTGTCACCTGAGGAGAAGGATCTCTCGAAGTCAGGGTGCCAGCTCCAGAGGCAGGAGCATGTGCGGCAGTGTTGGATACAAGGACTGGCCTTGCTCACCTTGATGAGGTCACCCAGCATGTGGTTAGCCTCCACATAGGCCTTCTTAACCTCCTTGAACTTGGAACCAAGCCCCATGCTGTGGGCCTGGAAGTGTAGGTTGGTGTACTGGCCCCCTGGGATCTCATTCTCATACACGTCTGAGTTGCCAGACTTCATGGTGGCCGTGCAGTCAAAGGCTGCGTACAGGCCCCGAGCCCCTTCCCAGTATTCACTGTAGTCGAACACATACTCCATGGGCACCTCTGCAGGGAAGCCAGATTCAGAGAGCTTACCCAAATCCCAGGGGCTCCTCCCAGGACCCAGGGCTGGCCTAGATTCTGTCTCAAACTTGGGTGGGAGGAGGCCAGGCCAAAGTGAGGCATCTGGATTCTGGATATCCTGGACTCTGCTGGGACTGTAGGTGGTTGCAGCTTTGAGAGGGGCTTGACCATGGGCCACTCCATCCTACCTGTGTCCAGGGGAGTTCCTTTGGTACAGGCCACCAGGGCCCCCATGCTGGGCTGTGAGGTCATCCCAGACATGGAGTCAGCTGCCACATCCACTACATCAGCTCCAGCCTGAGCACAGGCCAGCATGGCTGCCACACCTGCTCCTGATGTGTCATGAGTGTGGATGTGCAATGGGAGGTCAGGGAAGCGGTCCCGGAGGGAGCTGACTAGCATGGTGCAGGCCGCAGGCTTCAGCAGCCCGGCCATGTCCTGAAACGGGGGAGAGGAAGTAAAGAGGGGGCTTGGTGTAGGCCATGGCAGGTGTTGGGGAGAAGAGGTGGGCAAGATGCCCAGATACCTTGATGCACAGGATGTGGGTGCCAGCTCGCACCAGCTCTTCAGCTAAGCCCATGTAGTAGTCCAGTGTGTACTTAGTGCGGCTGGGGTCAGCCACATCACCCGTGTATGAGATGGCAGCTTCCACCACGCCCCCAGCACTGCCTGATGCTTCCATGCCCAGCAGCATGTTTGGCAAGTAGTTGAGGGAGTCAAAGACCCGGAAGACGTCCATGCCGTTCTCTTTGGCCACCTCACAGAACCTGACAGGTAAGAAACCAGGGTGAGTTGGGCCCAACTCCCTGCACTTTCTTGCCTGGTTTCTGGCCTGTTCTAGAGCCCTTAGGGAATGAAGTCTGGCCTGGCAGGGAGAGTGGAGGTCTCAACAGTGTGAGCAGGCCTTTCCTAGGGCAGCTTCTCCAGGAGGCTTTGCCTTAAGAGGTGCTGCAACGTGGCAACTGTCTTCAGCCTGCCCCAGCCTGGGGAATTCTTTGCAAAGGAGTGGTAGGCTGTTGGGGAGCACACTGAACAGAGTCCTAAGGCCTGGGTTCCAACCCCAGCCCCACACCGTGTTTCCTGAGACAAGTCATCTCCCTCAGTATCTACTGCCACAGTGATCTGCGGGGCATGGCTGTGGACACTTTGGAGCTCACTGTGGGGAGCACAGGCCATCACCGTGGCCCCACCCGACCCAGGCTCACTTGAAGACCACATTGTCAGGGTAGTTGGTGTAGCCCACAGCATTGGCCCCCCGAAGTAGCATCTGGAACGGGATGTTGGGGATGAGCTCTCGGAGCTCCTGCAGCCGCCGCCAGGGGCACTCATACAGGAAGCGCATGGCAACATCAAATGTGGCTCCTGGACAGGGACAGACAGGCTGGTTACACCACATGTTGTGATGGCCCCATGTGCCCTGCAGCTCTAGCCTGCTCACCTCCAGGGTTCCTCTTGTCCCCAGTGCTGGCCCTACCGCCTCTCCCTCCATTTATGCTCAGGGTAGCTAGGGCTCACTTGTACCCACTTTCATACCCATGTCCTCCCCTGGAACTGCACACTGTGACTAGCTCCTCCCTGCCTCCAAGCTGCTCGGGACCATGCCTGTGTTCCAGCCCCGCAGACTCGGGCCAGGCCAGCAGGAGCTGGCTGCAGCTGGCATTTATGGAACAAACCAGGTCTCCTGCTTTGGTTGCCTCACTGTAAACACCTCTAGCTTCTCCTTTCTAGCTTCTTCTGAGTTGGAAAACCAATTCTTGCCAGTGCTGTCCAACATCCCAGCCTGCTTCTAGCCTACCTCCCCAGTTCTCCATGCTGAAGAGCTTGTTGAAGCTGTGGGCAACATAGGGTGCAATCTTTTTGAGATCATGTGTGCGCACACGAGTAGCCAGCAGTGACTGGTGGGCATCCCGGAAGGTCGTGTCCATTAGCAGCAGCCCCTGGTGATTCCTCACAGCTCGAGCAAAGCCCTCTGGCCCCTCTCGCAGAAGGATGTCTCTGAAACCAGCCGGGGGTGGGCCTAGGGCAGACAAAGACATCAATGCCCATCCTGCAGGTGGCAACCCCGTTTCCCCCTTGAGTTGGTGAAATGGATCTCACCTACCTATGGGCACTGCAGGGACAATGGGGTCCGCAGGGCTGGGACTGGCCTTGACAGGAATCGGAGTGGTGGGGCCATTCACCATGACATGTCCTGGGGAGAGTGGGCAGTGTGTCAGGGCAGGCTGGGCAGAGGCAGGTCACAAGCAGCAATGTGAGTGGGTGGGCTCAGGGGTGGGGACATTCCTCCAGGACACCCAGTCCTCCCGTTGTCCCTATCTTCTTAAAGAGGGCCTCTTGGGTCCATGCAGTGGCACGTGTTAAGGACCACATGGACAGAAAGGAGGGTACAGGACGTGAATGGGCAGGGCTACCGGGCAGAAGCCAGACGCAGGTACAGTGGAGGGAGGGAGGAGAGGGCAGGATGGACAGACCAAGGTAGTGTAGAAGTTTCTGGGCTCGATTCTGTGCGGGCCGCAGCTGGAACAGCTCAGGGTTCTCATCGATGAACTGGGTGTCCACAGTGCCTGCCAGGAACTGCTGGTTGTTAAGCACATTCTGCAGGAAGGGGATGTTGGTCTGCAGGACAAAGGTGGGATGGTCACTAAGCAGCTCTGGGGGAGATGGGAAAAGACTATGTACGGTGCTGCCCCCGGAGCACTGCTGCCTCAAGATCACCCCATCTCCCCACCATTCTGGCAACCCCCTAAACTGCCAGGGGCTGGACACTGTCTTTGCTCACCCCAGATCATGTGCCAGTCCTTCCCATCATGCTTTCTCAGGCCTAGAAATAAGATCCTAGCCCTCTCCATGGCCTAGAACCTACCTCAACCTTTCCTGCAGCACCACCCCTCAGTCCTACCAGCCCAGCTTCTTGAACTTGCTGCTGTCACTGTGTCTCCTCATAAGTCCAGTGGGCATCCTCCACCTTGATGTGCCTCCCTGGGCTCTGCCCTGCTCTTCTGGTCTCCTGTACTTCTTGCATGGTGCTCTTAGGATGCCTTGCCCTGGGCTGTGGCTCCAGTGATGGCCTCTGCCTCCAGGGCCAAGACTCAGGGGGTAGAACTGGCCACCAGCACCTTGAGCATCCCTCATAGAGGAGTTAACTAGGTCCTGCATCCTGAACTCCTCAAGCCTAGCTGGTGAAGGCCTCACCTTCTATCCAGGGACCAAAATCTGTACGCTACACCCCACTACCTACCCTGTTCCTGGCCAACTCTGGACTTGATGTCTTTTGCTCAGGCCATACCTTCCCCTGGGCTGCCTCATCTCAGTCACCCTTGGCTACCCAGAGGGATCCTCTGGCTCTTGCACCTGTGCTTGGTAAGCACAAAGGTCACCTCTGTCCTCTCCTCCCACCCTCTGGGGGAGATGGTCCCCTTTCTAGTAGGTCTCTATAGGATCTGCTTTCTCTTTTTGCTTTTCAGAGGAGGACAGGAGTGGCCTAGTAGCCACATGGGCTCTCTGTGAGATAGCCCATGTATGAAGCACGCCTGTGGCTGTGTGAGGAGGCATCTCTGTGTGTTACTCATGATTCCATTGGCACCTTCAGTAGGAACTTGAGGCCCAGTATAGACCAAGGACCCCTATCACATAGAGGCCTGGACAAGAAGGGTGCCCAACCCACCAGCCTCTGGTAGGCAGTCACTGGTCATTACAGAGTGGGGCCCAGCCATTGGGAATTCATGTCTGCCTATGTGGGCACTAAAATAGGGACAAAGCATTAAACTCAATGGAGAAACCATCTGCAGAACCTAGAGCTGCATAAAGGTGAGAAAGACCTTCAGCGCCCCCTCTCCCGGCCCACATAGATCCCTTCCCTTTGCAGCTACTGGGCCCACCATCATAGCCTCTGTACTGGGAACTCCAGTGTCAGGAACCGGACCCACCTGGCTCCCAGCACAGGGCGAAGGGAAACGCTACATGGGAAGAAGAGAGAAAGACACCTGGTGCCACCTTACATCACAGCTGACCAGACTAAGATTCAACTGGCTTTGCAACAGCTGAGGCCCAGGCAGTAGAAAAGGGAAGCCTGACTTCCTACAGCAGGGAGTTGAGCTCCTCAAGCTGCAGTCTCTCCCCCTTGGGGAGTGTGAAAGTACCTGCAATTAATACCTCGTCTACAGGAGGAAATTGTTTCTGTAGTTAAGTAACTTGCCCGGGGCATGCAGCTGTGCCAGGCAGAACTAGCACACTGGGTTCCCTGAGCTCTGCCACCCAGCTGCCAGTGGCAATCAGGTGTGGCGGGGGTGGGAGATTGGGAAGGAGTGGACGCGGGAGCCTGGGGTAGGAGTTGCCCCGTGGGGGGTGGCAACTTCCTGTTTCCTCGATTTGGGTTTGGTGGTGGGCACAAACGAGCACCATGGTCCCGGTCCCGCACCCTCATAACTCCCCTACAGGCCCCAGCTAGGGCCACCTCACACCTTAGCAGGTCAGGGCCACGCTCCGAGACCAGAACCCCCTCGGGGGTCTGGGGGAGCGAAGCTGCGGTGCGGCGAGGATCACTGACGCACAGCTTCAAACTGCGTGCCATAGCCGGCCTGCTGGGAAACCGCGCGGCTGAAACCAATCGGGCCGAAGAAGGAGGCCGGTTGGCTCCCCGCGGGCGGGCGGGGCACAAAAGCTGAGAAGGAGGAGGAGGGAGGGGCGCGGCAGGGCGGGGCGGGTGCGCCGCCAGCCCAGAGGCCGAGCCCTCTTGGCCCTACCCCGCAGCATCCCTGCCGAGGGCACCACCCCAGCCCCCAAGGGCCCGTGCCTGTGGGGGACCCTCCACGTGATCCGGTGATGCAGAACGCTTGTGACCTTCAGCGTGTGTCTATGAATGCGAGGGTCCCAGCAACAGTGCCGGTTTGCGCCCGGCCCTGCCCGCGGGTGCGGGGACGTGTGGGTGTGTGGGCCTGTGTGGGCGTGCTGGGGAGGGTGCCCAGCGACATGTGACAAAGACCCGTCTCTGGGAGATGGTGAAGGGGCCCGGGAGCGGGCGCTTTGTCTGGCTGTCTGCAGAGCCGCGGCGCCCGGCGGAGCGGTGCAGGATGCCGGGGCGCCAGGGTGGCCGGGGGCGCGCGCGCCAGTGCCAGGGTGAGTGCGTTGCGGCAGCACCGGGGGGCCGCGCGGCGGGCCG